CCGAGCTGGGGATTCGAACCCGCCACCTTAGGTGTACGTGGCTGGCGCCTTAGCCGGTTGAGCTATAGGCGCCGAGCCTTCATCCCTATTTTATGGATGGCCCCCAGAGATGGAAAACACATGGTCTCCAGATCCTCCAGTATGGCCCCTTAAACAAATCCAAACTCCAAATTAAAAGGATTTGTTCTGTAAAATTTAGATTCAGTCAAAAGGCTGCACTCAAGACCAGAAGGCCACAGGTTCCCCACCCCTTTGGTGGCTGCTCCAGATGTTAAGTGTCCCTAATGGGTAAGGCATCATCAAACTTTGCCTTGTCTTTTTTTTTTTTTTCTTTTCATTGAGAGACAGAGTCTCATCACCCCAGGCTAGAGTGCCATGGACCTCAAACTCTGGGCTCAAGTGATCCTTCTGCCTCAGCCTCCCAAGTAGTTGGGATTATAAGCATGTGCCAGGACATCCACCGAATATTTTCTTCTTTTATTATTATTATTTTTTTTCTTTTCAGTAGAGAATGGGCCTTGCTCTTGCTCAGGCTGGTCTCCAGCTCCTGAGCCCAAATGATTCTTCTACCATGGCCTCCCAGAGTGCTAGAATTACAGGCATGAGCCACCGTACCTCTTGTCTTAAATAACATTCACTATCATATACGTCATGACTGGGATCTCCCAAATGGACTCTCTTTCTTTGTTTAACTCAGCAAAACATTTTAAGGTCCCCTTGGGGTCTAGGAAGAGTAAGCAGTCCTTTGCCAGGGCAGAAGAGGGAAGGGCAGGGTTCTACTGCTTTAACCCTGGGGGCTGATTCTTGTAATGTGTATTGGGGTCACCCCACAACCCAAGACACAGCTGCTGTGCTCCCTCTGACTAGTAGCTGAGTATTACCCAGGCAGCTAGAGTCGGTTCAGTTTTGGCTGTGCATTCTTGGCTTTTGTGCTAAGTCTTCTCATTTCCTCATACTCAGAGAGTTGGTTTAAGTGTGAGGATATTGAAAAATTGGGCTTCCCGACTCTTGGAAGGCCAATTCATTCCATGGAAAATGTCTCAAATTTCCCATCCTGTCCTGTGGTTCAGGACCTGCATTGGAAGAGGCCTGTAGGAGTAGTCAAAACTGCTGCAGGGTGACGATGACATGTCAGTATAGATTCCCTGGTTGTAACAAATATACTGCGTGGTTGGGACTGTGACAGTGGGGGAGTCTGGGGTGAGTATGGGTATGTGGTCAAGTCTGTGCTTTCCGCTCAGTTTTGCTGTGGACCTAATACTATACTAAAAACAAAACAACCCCCCCTCCCCAAACACCACCCATTGGAATACATACACATGAAAAAATGAAATGTAAGCAATAGATGCCAGACACAACGTTATGATTCCATTTAAATGATGCTTGAAAATGTGCAAATGTAAAACAACCCGCTGTAGGCAGAGTCCGCAGTGACACTCGGCAGCACTGCCTTTAGATTCCATTGTTCGTGTCTCTAGAAACATTCTGAGTTAGAAAGAAAACACCTAGACGCTGTGGTTCATGATGCCAAGAGGGTTTAGCCACAGCTACGTAGGGTCAACTTGGTTGTTCGTTGTAGGAGAAACTGGGCTTGGCCATGTCTGCTCCCTTTGTGCAATCTTCAGGCCTCCCCTGGGTGACGGAGTATGTGCGTGTCGGGGCAATTCTGGATTTGATTATCCAGATATGTTCTGCCCCTCCTCTGTTTCCCAAGTCTTGGCTGTGTTACTCCACTGAGGATCTGAAGATGTGTTAGAGAAAAAAAATAAACCCGAGCTGCCTGGTTTTGCTCCTTGCTTGAGGTTCAAGTGAAACAATCTACTCATTTGACAAAATTTTATTGAAAGCCTTTGACTACATACAAAAGTGAATGAATGAGATCCAGCCCTTGTCCTCCAGGTGTTCAGTTACCTCAGGGAGGAGCATCATGGGAACAGATGGACAAGTCTGGTGGCACATGCAGGGAAATGTCTAACACCCCAAATATTCATTGATCAGCTCTTACACAGGTCCAGAGTAGGGCTTCATTATCCATTATTTTTTCCGATCCTCCTATCATTCTTGTGAAATCATGTAAATATCCCAATTTTGTAAGTGACTGAACAGAAATTTGAGTAATTAGGTAACCTGGTGCCAGGGAGTGGTAGGAGTAGAATCAGCCAACTCTATAGACTGCAGATCTAGGGCTCTTTCACTGGAGTCCAGTTTCTGACATGGTGGAAGTGCTTGCCTGACTCGGCAATTTTTTTTTCTCCCTTTTCCTTAATAGGAAATCCCACTCTCTTAGTTTTGCTCTCCTCCCCCGTCCCTTGAACACATCACTACAGAGTATAGAACAATAGATCTTATCCTCTGTCCTGTCATCCAGACACCTGTGCCTGTGCAGGACATGGAACTGAGGAATAATGAAGTATCAGGGAAATTGCTGCTGGGCCCACAGATCTTGTGTGCGCAGTGGCGTTTGCACATTCCGTATTCTCCCTTGGTCCCCCTCTCCCTTCTCCACTTGGTGGACCCATCTCTTTCTTTACAAGAGACCCATATCTGAACTCCTATTCAGAACCCCAAAGCCCCTGAGCTATAGGCAGGAGATGCAGCACTTACAGATGCCGCCCAGACCCACTGACTATAAAACTTAGTGCTGACGCCCACTGCTTCCATACAGCCTGTGTGGCCCCAAATCAGCCAGGTGACCAGTGTTTTCCAGATAACACACCAAGATGTTCTTATCCATTTATCTCTGCAAATAACCCTTTATCCTACACCTATGCAGGACTTAGGTTTGTTATCAGGGAGAAGCCCAGAGTGCTGAGTGTAGGCAGTGACCTGCCAGGTGGTTGGAGGCCTGGCAGATGGGTGGGGCTTCGGGGCTGCCAGGTGCTCTAGCCTCAAGTTTATACAGCTCCTGTTTCTGCATATCCGACATAGAAGCATTAAGAAAAACTAAATGGAAAGGAGGCTTGTTTGGTCTTACAGGGCTTTGTATCTCTCGCAAAATGTATTTTCTCTAAGATTAACAAGTACAATTTTATTTTATTTTTCTGAGAACAAGTCTCACTTTGTCACCCCAGCATCATAGCTCAGAGCAACCTCAGACTCTTGGATTCAAGCAGTTCTCTTACCTCAGCCTCCCAAGTAGCTGGAACTACAGGTGCCCACCATAACACCTGAGTATTTTTAGAGATGGGGTCTTGCTCAGGCTGGTCTCGAACTCATAAGCTCAACCAATCTGCCTGCCTCGGCCTCCCTAAGTGCTGAGATTACAGGCATAAGCCACCTCACCTGGCCTTACCGTTTTAAAATTATAGCCAGATTATCTTATTCCTAGAAACTAGCATGAATGATACAGAAACTCTGGATATATCCATAGGGCAGATTTTCATTAGCACCAGAAATTAAGGTCGCATAATATTTACCCCCCACCCCCACATACAGATGTACTCATTCATTGCTAAGTTGTCTTCTTGGGATACAATAATGAACTAAGCTTAGAAATCTATGTATTCCATGAAGGTTGTACTGTAGTCATGGGAGGCAGACAATAAACGAAATATAAATGCAAATTATAATGTATGTTGGAAGGTGATAAGTGCTATGGCGAAAAATAAAGCAGGAGTGAGGAGGGGAGTAGAGACAGAGTGCTGGGGTGGAAGCTGAGATTTTGAGTAGAGTCGTTGGGAAAGACCTTAGTGAGATGGTATTTGAGTGATGATTAAAAAGAATAAGGATCAGCTGGGCTCGGTAGCACACGCCTGTTATCCCAGCACTCTGGGAGGCTGAGGTGGGCTGATGGCCTAACTCACAAGTTTGAGACCAGCCTGAGTAGAGTGAGACCCCATCTCTAAAAATAGCGGGGAGTTGTGGCAGGTACCTGTAATCCCAGATACTCGGGAGGCTGAGGCAAGAGAGTTGCTTGAGCTCAGGAGTCTGAGGTTGAAGTGGGCTATGATGATGCCACGGCACTCTACTGGGAGTGACAAAGTGAGACTCTGCCTCAAAAAAAAAAAAAAAACAAAAACAAGACCAGCCTGAGCAAGAGCCAGACTCTGACTATAAAAAACTAGCCAGGCTGTGCACATTTCATTGTCTTTTTTTCTTTATGTCAAGAAAAAAGATAATGTGTCATCTGCTAAGTAGGTCTTTGGAGGTAAATTAGCAGCATCACTAATTTAAGTTGTTGCTTTCAGTCACAGAAAAAAAAAAAATAGTCGGGTATTGTGGTGGGCACCTATAGTCTTAGCTACTGGGGAGGCTGAGGCAAGAGGATGGCTTGAGCCGAAGAGTTTGAGGTTGCTGTGAGCTATGATGCTCTGGCACTCTACCCAGGGTGAGAAAATGAGAGTCTGTTTCAAAAAAAAAAAAATTTTGTCTTTGGTCATTCAGTATATTTTTTCTTCCTTTGTATTTCCTAGGAACATGCTTTTGAAAGCAGCCAGAAATATAAAGAAGGCAAATACATCATTGAACTAGCACACATGATCAAGGACAATGGCTGGGACTGATCGCACCACATCCACCCAACCCAGTGTCCTCGTGAACGCCACCCAACCGAACATTCTACCCAAGCGTGAGAGAGTGACTGAACACTTGGTTCCATCCATGTAGGGGCCTTGCCATCTGGGGCATCCTCCCCCCCGACACCATCTTTCTGGTGACCGGCCTCTAAATCACTGTCTCTCTGTCTCTTTGCTTTGTATCTGTTTGTGAGTTGACCCTGGCTTCTCTCTCTGTCCTAGTGTTGGCTGAAAACAAAACAATGAAAGGAACAGATCCTTGACCGCATTGTGGCAGCCCACCTTGATAAGGGCCCCCGGTCCTGTGCAAGAGCTGCCTGACGGCCTCTTGTCAGGAGAGCAGTGGCATGGGGGTGAGAGGAAGAGGGAAAAGGGGGAAACCCTGGGAGTCCTGGGGATGGGTAGGGGGTGGGAGGGTGGAGGTCGCAACAGAATTGAGCTGCTCCTGGAGACCTGATAACTTAGGCTTGAAATAATTGTCTTGTCTAAAAGGACAAAGAGAAAAAAAAAATACCTCATTACTGCATTCTCTCTGATCAGAAGCTTCTGTCCCTGACACCGAATGTGCCAGGTTAGCAAATGAGCACAAGAAGTAGCCCCAGTTCTAGTTGGCAGGGCAAAGGCCTGGTTCTCTTGGGCTGAGTTGGGGAGTGTTCTGGTAGCAATGAGTGACTTGAGAAGAAGCCATGTGGATTTTGGTGACTCTGATGCCTCTGGGCAATCATTGTCTTTGCCTCTTTAGACTGCGTAGGTAATGAGAGAGGGGACTGCCATTTGCAATAGGCTCATGATCCAAATATCCCAAAGGCTCTGACCAGCAACCAGGTGAAATCGGTAACTGGGGAGAACAGGGAGCAAAGGTGACTGCAGCCTGGAAGCTCCTAAAGAGGAGGCTCAGATACTGAGCCAGAAAAATAAAAAGTAGAATCAGTTAGCAATTCTGACTGTCTGATCTATTTTCTGACCCTTAATAAAAGTAATATGGCAAGGGACTAGGTTGGGTAGGGGCAATCCTGAGAGTCTTTTCGAGTTTGAACCAGTACAGGTTAGGTACATCTTTCCTCTTTGGATGTGCAGTGGCTTCAGTGGGATCAGCCATTCTTTGTTCATAGTGTCAGGTGTTTTTCTCCAGTTCTATTACGGTGGACTGTGGAAAATAGAGGCCAGAGGCTTTGAGCTTAGTGATAACCTGGATGGTAGATTCCTCTTGCCCTAGTTGTTCCCCTCGGACCTGAATGTCTTGTGTGGAGAGAATTCTCCTGTTGGTGTGGTCCAATAGTGGGGGAGGATTACAGATTCCAGTATTACTGCCCCTCCATCCACTTTATCATCATATTAGGGAAGTGGGCTCTTGAGAAAGAGGAGTTTGTTACATTTAATCAACACTGTGAAGTCTCTTCTACAGCAGTTCAGCCAGTGTAAGGTGCATGGCCGAAATTACTCAACTGAGTTTTCATTTCTTAGACTGAAAATATTATTGTTCAGATGTGTATGTCCGGTAATTCTCAGCATCTCGTTTTCCAAATAGGCCTATCCTAAAGGGAGATTTACAAACTTAAAAAGTCTCACAAAGGAGCGAGTTCCTGGAGATAATAATCTGCAAAATGTATTAACTAAGATTCAAATAGACAACCCAGGACATTTTCAGCATTGTACCTACAGCAGAACCAAGTTTCTGTAGGGAGTGAGTCTGGGGGACACGCCTTTGTGTATCTCCACGTGCGGACAGCAGAGTGGAAACCCCGAGGCAGATGTGGCTATGCCCTGCCCGGGGCCAGCAGCAGGACTAACAGAAAGCAAGGTAGATGCAGGGGCAGCAAATGGATTCTTAGGAATTGAATCTTGCTCCCTAGGGCTCCCTGTCCAGCTCTTTCTAGTGCTTTAGTCACCCTTGGAGAGTAAGTTGTTCTCCCCACTTCACCATAAGGCAGACTGAGGTTCAGAAAAAGTGTTTAATTTCTGTTCCCAGAGAAACAGTTCCTCTGGCCCCTAGGCCTAAGTTCTCAATAAAAAACAAAACACATTTCAACTTTCACATTCCTTAAGCTGGCTTGCCAGCCCAGAAATCACGGATTTTCCCCTTTCTTCCTTCCCCTCCTAAAGGAAGTTGTCTTTATTTATGGATTTTGATTAAACCCTTTGCTCAGGGAATGTCCTGACTGTTTATTGATAATCCTTTCCATAAAAAGAAAATGGGCGTTAAACATAGGTAGATGTTTTGTTTTTAAAACTAGAAATGGAATGTGGTGACATACAGAAACCAGACGTGGGATGCCCTAGAATTTTCAAGGGGCAGAGAAAGAGACCAATGTGCCACTGTTCTTCCTTGGGGGTGAGGCCTTTGACTGTTGCAGGGATTCAAGCAGTCTCCAATCAGACGCTGGTTCTGGTTTTTTTCAATTACTTTCCATTGAGCCTCCAGTGGGTGCAGGGCACCATACCTTGTGCGAGAGATCTGAGTAGAGTGTTGGCTCTTCCATAACTTCAAGGGAAATAAAAAGAAAAAAAACTCATTAGGCTTTCCCTTTGTGTCAGCGAAACCAAAAGTGCTTCTTATAACTTTTAGCTCTGTTCATGGCTTGCGTTATCTAACATTTAGCAGTATTGGAGAGGCCACAGCTGAGCGACAGAGGCGCTAAATTAAGTCATGGCCTCAGTTAGTTCATTCTTTAATTTCCTCACCAAATTATCGACCTAGAGCATAACCAAAGACCTCATCCATACACCCCAGGCAGGTTCAGGGAATCGGAGTTTGTTGGTAGAGTTCGGGGGGAGTACAGGGAATAGAGGATGGGAAAGGGAGAAGGGAGACAGGGAAAGGCGTGAAGTTCTATACCTCAGCCAGCAGCTGCTTTTGTTCTGAAATCAAGTCCTGCTGGCAGACTTTCTAGTTTCCTCTCCCTGGTGCCACTCTGGGTCACACGACCTTGGCCACCTGGAGTATGCCCGGACCCCCCCCCTCCCCCGGATATTAGTCCCAGGCTGCCGATGGGTGGATTTGATGCTAATGAAGAACAGCCTGACTTGATACCCCCAGGTTGTCAGCTGGGCCAGACTGAGACCTGCCCCACCTCCTGTGACAGTAACGTCACAAAGATAGGATAGAGGAAATTTTTACTGGTGGGTCAGTGCGTGCAAAAGAAGTGTCCCCTTTATGAACAGATTTTAAAGTGGATATATATTGGAAAAAACCAGTTGCTTGTGAAATATACTTTTTGTAAATAATATTTAATTTTTTAAATAATATATTTGGTGCTGTTTTCTCAGATCCCCTGAGAGCACTTTCTATTTTCATTTAAAATTCTGTGGTTTCCTCTGCATTTCTTGAAGTGTATTTTAAGGGAAACAGTAATCACCAATATACTTTTTTTTTTTTTAAAGGTCTCTATCACTTTAATCTGAACCAAGGCTTTAAAGCAATGCCTGGCTGCATTTTTCCCAGTGGAACAGACTCTGCAGTACATTACGAGGTTGAGAATTGAAATGTTTTCTTGCACCAGTATTGGCTAGAAAAGAAAAGAAATAAAACCAAGTTAATTTCATAGTCACAACTTAGAGTGATTCCTCTTGTTGGAAGAATTTCCAATAAATTGGAGTCATGTTTTTTTAATTGTGTGTGTGTGTGTGAGTGTGTGAGTGTGTAAAAGCACTTTGGATCGTGCCTCCTATTTTCTTTTTTATCGGGGACACTATAACTACAGTTTACACCTTGAGCACATAAAGTTTTTCTTCTTTCTCTTTCTCTCTGTCTCTGGTCGTTTTTTGTTTCTGAGTGGACCAACAGCACAAACCACGAGGATTTTGTCTTCCTAAGCATGGAGCTGCTGCCGGTTTGCTCCTTTTTTTTGCTTTGTGTGCTCAACTTTTACAGACTGTAAAGGAAATCTGTTGTTTGGGAAGATCAAGCAGAGCGACGTCTGTGCTTCTCACTAAGATGCGAGTGAATGAATCACGGATCCCAGAGCTCCGGGTGTTTTAGAAGCCACATTATGTTAAACATCAACTGGTTTGGGTTAAAAGAACAATAATAAAATAAGACACATATCTTATAGGTGAACAGCTTTTTTTTTTTTTTAAGGTCAGATTGCCTCAGGTTCAGAAAGAGTCTGGGAAATCAAATCTTGAACACAATCAACTTATATATTTTAAAAGAATCTGCCTCAAATAAGAAAAAAAAAAAAAAAGCCCTGTTGTCTAGCTAGAAGAAAGAGATGTTTAATTTTCTTAAAGACCGTCATAAAAACTACTGGCAGTAAAAGTTAAAGCCAAGAAGAAGCAAGTTATTCTCACATTACCAAATTCTAAAACTTGCCCACAAGTTTTTGTATAACATTTTGGTGAAAGGGGGACTTGGTCCCCTTTTCCAAACCTGCAGAGACTATCTTTCAGTACAGAATCTGTCTATTATTTGTGCTGTGTTTACAAACCGTATTTGTTGGTTTTGGGTTTTTTGTTCTGTTTTTGTTTCCCTTGGTGGTATTTTTTTTTTTTTTCAGGTCACTTTGCTTCGTTAACAAAGGTAATTGTTTTCAAATAATTTGTCTTCACCTTTTCCTGTATCTGTACATAGCGATTTACTACTAGAGAAAAGTGCATTGTTTCTGTCATGTTTCCGATCTGTGTTGGTGCTCATTTGAGAAAATAAAGTTTTCAAATATTAGCTGTTTGGAGAGCTCATCTGTCTTCATTGACCCAGTATGTTTTATATCATCTTGACATTTAACATTCAAAACACTAAAAGGCCTGCAGGAGGTCGTCCTTCTAATCCCAGTCACAGATCTGTCAGCTGAGACCCTAAGGGGTTATTTTTCCTAAGGACAGTCTGCCAATTAATGTATAAAAAGCAGGTCCCCTGCTTATCTGCAAATGCTTCTCCTGGCTTCAGACATCAGAAATGCACGAGTGACCTTCATCCAGTTCTGTGTGCTAAGCCCTATATTCAGACTCTGCGGGCTTTTCTGATGACACCAATTTCTTTGGTGGAGATAGGATCACGTTAAGTAAAGGAGAAAAAAAGAAAACAACACAATTAAGTCAAAAAGAGGTGGTAGCATCATCTCGTAATGACTGTCTAACAACAAAAAAGATTGTCTAACAAAGGAAGATCAATATTCACATTTACATGGAATATCAGATTTTCTCGTTCAACAAATATTTATTAACCATCTGTTTGATTCTAGAGACTAAGCAAAACACTTCTGCCCTCCTAGGCAATGAGTTGTTTTTGTTTCCTAGGTACCCTCCCTCCAGCTGTAGCCCTGTGCACCCAGAGTCTTGTATATCCAGTCATCGTAAGGACAGTTTGTGTTCTGGTGCCTTCATTTAACATAGGCTAACTAATTTTGTTTAGGCATCATTATTATTTCGCACTATATGTGAAAGCACCTTTTCCAAACCTTTCCTCTGTCTGTATGTTAGGGAATTCTCTCCTTGCACCTAGCCTAAATGATAAAAAAGAAAAGATATGAGTGGCACCTGTGGCTCAGTGAGTAGGGCGC